CCCATTTTACCCCTTCAGGACCCTCTCATGTCAAAGTCCCCTACTTAATTCCCCTCCCCCCGTCGTCCTATTATTGCGAAGTTTGTAATTTCCCCGGGGTTCACGGGCAGAATACACGGCTAAAATACCAAATCCCCCTCGTTTCCCCCGGTTGTCCCGGGGGTGTACCCCCCGGGCAGGCCGTTGATATGTGCATTATAGCTGCATGGCAAAAAGCCACTTGTGGAATTTAAATAATGAGGGTGGGCTGTGGCCAGTGCCAATATCAGATTACAATATCGCGACAAAAATCTGCTTTGCAAGCATCTGTGCCAGACTATGGTTTACACCTCTGACCTCTGGTATATTTTGAAATGCGTCAGGCCGTTTTGTTGCTTGAAACTGGATTTTGTTAAATGTAAGTTTGTAATTTGTAGAGAACCACAAGTCAGTATATATATTAACCTCTAACGTAGAATCTTAAACAAAGTATACGACGCATTGCTGACAACGCACTTGCTCCGAAGTGTTGTTTGGTCCACCAACTTAATTTAAGTCATAAATGCAAGTCTTGTGAGCATCTACGGAACGTCGGAACTTAAGGCTTTGCTTTAACAGCATCAGTGTTGATGTTTATCATGGCGTTACGAACTTGCTGAGGCTGTCTCGTTACCATCGCTACTTTATACACTGGCACAGATCCGTTCTAGATTTGCTTCCTAGTTCCTACTACTATATACACTACATTACCAGCTATGAAGCCTTGAGCATCCTCCAATTAGGAAGAAGAGCTTTCCCTTTAGGCTTTAGCTCTGCAGACATCCGAAGGGCTTTGTTAATTCTTATTAAAATATATATAAAATATAACTCGTGATTTCTTATTGGCTAACAGCCAACTGTCGTGGGTAAAAGGTCGTTGGGTCGAAAAATGCAGTAAAATTGCGTTTTTCGCTAAAAGATTATTTTTGCTAAATAATTTCTGGTTTAACAAAACACATGTAAAGCCTAACGCAAACGATTTTAATCGGACAAGGTCAAATTGTTTTAAATATTGTCCGATTTAAATCGCCGACAAAATCGCTTAAAAATGACACTGCACATGCACGCAAGGATTTCATAATTTTGATCGACGGACTAAAATCGCATCGTGTGCGCCAGGCTTAAGAGATCGACAGTGCTCAAACCAGTGAATATTAAGCTTATGTGCCGTGTAACACATTACCAGCTACGTCACAAGTGAAACGATGTGCATAGCTCGATGTTAGGACCGACGACTTTTATCCACGACGCACGACGTTTTTACCCAGGACGTTTTTACCCACGACGCACGACCGGAACATGTAAATTTAATCTACAATCTACATACTGATACGTGTCATTACCTGTTGTAGATTGCTGTGTCGTCAACGAATTGTAATTGTTCTAATATATCTACAGTTTCAAGCAAGAGTTTACAAGTAAGTGACTATCCCAAAGAGTCAGAGTTCTATCTAAGTATTGTACAACAAGAGATGTATTCAAATTAGAATACAAAGAGTTAATACTTGAAAGATATTATAGTCAATATTTTGTTACTTCCGTCGGAGATTTTAAATTGTTTTTTAGACGACAAGCGTTTTGGGCACGGCACCCCTAAAAATCGTCACCGGTGCCCAAAAGATTGAAGGTGCGTTCGGTGCCAAGACTTTAATTTCTCATAAGTATAGTCTCATATATGCAGTATAAGTCGGTTTCCATGCATTACGTCCGCTTTGCCCGCAGCCATCTTGCCGCGAAAGAATTCCGAAAGTAATCTACATTGAGCATGCGAGTTTCGTTCATTTTCAGCATGATTCTACTCTACATTTGCGAGCAGAGGTTTAGTGTCTTATTACTTGGAAGCAAAAAACAAAAGTCTTCGCTATAAGACAGTCGGTTATCTAGTTAATCTGCCTGTCTTGGCAGATTCAACCATTATTTATCTATAATTTAACACTTTCAACACCGAATAATCACTTTGAACATATTGATGAATGATGTATAAATGACATTATTTTTTTTGCCTTTTTTCGATGTTCTTTTCTCCTTAATTAATTTAACTTATAATGAACTCACCGCAGTTTCTATCGATTCTAAACAAAAATTCCTAGAACTTGGGAAAATGATCAATGTATCGATTAGTGTTGAATAAAACCCCGCAAATTGCATAAATTACCATAAACGAACGCCGGTTTTTTTTTAGATTTTTAGATTAGAGTCATGGAGGGGAGTCTAGTATTATGCATGAGAAATCAGCCCAAGCAGGTACTTTACTGGTTATTGCCATGTAATCAAAAAGAATTATTTTATCAGTTTGTAGCTATAAGCCTAAAATATATCCTTCTATGAGTACTATTTTAAATGAATTGCATGTGCACCACTTGCCTTCATGTGCACGCTTTCTACTCGAACTAAAGTACAAAAATTTAGCTATCTAAAAACTGACCTCATTGTCAGCCTCGAGACAAACAGTTTTTGTGTTTAATTTTATCAGACTGAGTGCCGATTGATATTCCTGCATGATCAACGGAAGAAACGAAGTGCTTGAATTGGAATGTTTTATCATCTTCAAAATATTTTGTAAGAATGAATTAATCTTTGTATTTTGTATTATTGCGTTTTTTATAGATTAACTTTCTTTATTTCTTTACCAATTTATTTTTGTTCATTTTCCAGGTTTTTTTTTGGTTAATCCTAGACAAACTGAGGTCAATTTTTACCCATAATGGAAAGTTATTCTGACACGTTTGATTTGGTTGTCTTTAATTTCTTAAAGGAGTGTATTCTACTGCCACAGATACACTCGCTACAATGTTCTTTTGTTGTCGTAGAGAACATGGCGCATTATACATTGCATGAATCACAGAAATGTACGTCTGAAATACGATTAAGGCTTGCAGAAGTTGCGAAGTCATTAGATTTGTTTGACAAGTATGTTGAATCGCCCAGCAACAAAACTGCTAAGACGTTGAAACAGTCGTTTGATAATAGCAAAAGTACTTATAACGAACTTTCGGCTGATGAAATTGACGAAATGTTAGAATGTACACGTACTTCTTTACTAAAATTTATCCCAGACTCTGATAACGAAAATAGAAAATCTAAAGACTCTGATCACAAAAGTTCCAACTCTGTAAATAAAAACGTGAACTTATTTGATTTCCAGCCAGACAGTATTTCTGAAGACGCTTCAAAAAATGAAAAAGAAAAAACGTCTATTCGTTCACCAAATTTGAAAAATGAGAATAGTTTTCAAAGCAGTAGTGAAAATAAGCAACAAGAAGAAAAGCAACATTTTAATACTGCACAAAGTAAAGAGCACGAGAAATTTGAAGATCTTTTGATGCAATCCTCGCAGGAACTAAAGCAGAAACAAAAAAAAGTTCCGACATCCAAGACCAAGGCGAAAAAGTTCGTAGGCTCAGATCAAGATCCTTCAATTGGTCAACCACTTGTTGAAGAAAGAAGTAAAAAGGTCGAGATGAAAATATATACCGACGTTTCAAGTATTGATAAAGAAATGGACGCATTGAAATCGTTGAACTGCGAACATCCGAAAAGTTTGAGGAAACCGGAAATCGAAATTCACTTCCTACGAAAAGAAATAGAATCATTGAAAATTGAAAACCAAAAGATTTTGGCTGAGCATGGGCAAATCCTTGTTGAGCAAACTGCCAAAGAAAGCGAAGAAAGAAAATCTGATCTCTTTCAGCGAATATTTCGTTCCGAAGCTAAACAATCTGTTGTGTCTACAACTGCATCTAGTGAACAACCTGCCCAAGGCGCCGAGGCTTTGCAAGGAGGTAACCATCAACGAGGAAAACAAGAGACGGCCACAAGAGACAAAGATGAAAGCAAGATTCAAGGAAGAGATGAAAACAGCACAGGAATATCAACCTATAGGAGTAACAGCGAAAACCAAAATCCAACAACACAAAACTCGTCAAGTATTGCATCGAAAGAGAAGACAAGTGGCGGAGAGGGAATCGATACATCTGGACACGTCAAGGGAACCGGTGACGCAGCATCGACATCAAGAGATGAAAATAACACTCTGCAAAGCTATGAAAACCTATCATTCTCCGTCCAACAAGACGTTTCAAATGGAACAGAGTACATATCGCTGGGAAATGTACCACCTACATCAGTCGCAACCACTTTGTACAACAACTACAAGTTTTTGTTGCTCTCTCTGGGCCAAAGTCTTCTTTCCTCCGACGTCGTAAAGCTGATGGACTGGGCTTCTCAAAATTTCTCAATCGAGAACGCTCAAAATGCTACTGATGTTCTCTTACAACTTGACCAAAAAAGAATCATCAATGCTTCAGATTTAAGTCCACTTCGCGATTTCTTTGAATCTATTATCAGAATTGATCTTGCCTACATTATCGATGAATTCTTGCTTGGTAATTACAGCTTACTTCGCCAAATTTCAGCCTTGAAAACGCGTGATGTAAACAGGGCACAAAATCCTCAGTACGGTTCCACTTCACGGTTTACAAGTTTCTTGAAAACTTTGAGTTCCAGTCGGTCGTACACTCAGGGTTCCAGAACAGCAGGAAGTAATGTTGCTGCCAGCGGCTCATTACAAATGAGTACAAACAGAAATCCAGCAACTTCAAGGACACCAGAAAACAGCAATGGACCGCAAAGCTCTCTCGCTCAACAAAACCGCCAGCCTGCTCTTTCAAGTTTCTTGAGATACCCAAACACAAACAACACAAACCTCGTGTCCAGATCTCCCAATGAAAACCAATCCAAAGCCCACGAGCAGCGAAATGTCAAACCTATTGCAACTGGATTTACTGAAACAAGTGTAGTCGTTGCAGATAGCCCTGTTACAAGTAAGTTTCTTTAATTAATATTTTTACCATGCAGACTGATATCCCTCATAAATTTAGTGTGTTTTGCTTCTGGTAGGGAACGACTATAGCAATTATTGACTGTGATTCAATTAAATATTGCCAGCGATCCTGAAAGGATCGATCATTGCGTCAGCGTCACTGCAGTAGAAACATAAATTACACTTTATAATGTATAAATGTCAGTTAGAGATCCTGTAAGGGCGGCGCTCAATTCGTCTAGTATTAGCATTAGTTCGTTGTAATAAACACAAAAATGACTAAAATACTTTAAAATTCAATAACATTTCATTGTGTTACCGTGAAAATATCCTAGCAACTGTTTTTGTGTAATAGGTGTTAATTTAAACCATGCGAGGCTCAATCTTGCGTTATGAATACAAATTTCCAACACAAGATTGAATTTCCAACACAAGATTTTAAATAAACACCTATGGCTATACACAAAAACCGTTGCTAGAATATTTTCACGGTAACACAATGAAATGTTATTGAATTTTAAAGTATTTTAGTCATTTTTGTGCCTATTACAACGAACTAATGCTAATACTAGACGAATTGAGCGCCGGCCTTACAGGACCTACTGACATGTGTGCATTATAAAGTATAATTTATGTTTCCCACTGCAGTGACAATGGCGCGTTGGTCCTTTCTGGATCTTTGGCAAAGACAGGATTGATACAGCTATGAGCTATCTTGTAAAAGAGTTAAATTAAAGTTTGCAATAATTTATTTTTATTGTTTGAAAAACAGACGAGAGAAGAACAACAGCAAGCAATTCTTCAACAAGAACAAATCCACCAGTGAAAAACAACGGCTCAAGAATTACAATTGGTAGCAATGGTTCAAAGCTTTCCAAGTTCTCACGCGAAGGCGCAGAACGAAGCATCGTTTCTTTTGCCCACGCCCCAAATCCTTCTCGTAACCAAGACCTTGACCTCGAAAGTAACTGGTTATGCAGTCATTACAAACGACTTTGCTACGTCAAATTTGAATGTTGCGACAACTTTTGGCCATGTCATCGTTGCCATAACAACCAAAGCACGTGTGGCCGAAAGAAACTCAAGTCACGTGACACGCAGATGGTGAAGTGCGTCTATTGCAATAAAGAGCAACAGGTAACC